TACGTGTGACCGAACTAGTAGCTACATTTCAAAAGCTTTTTTTGTTGTTGCTAAAGNTGCTAAAAGCAAAATTCAAGCCATTTAAGAATGAAAATGTCCTTTATTACATTTAACCTGTTGTGGAAATATTTCTTGATCAAATTGATATGAAACAAATGAGACAAACATCGCGGTGACACTGGTGGGACCCTTAACCCTACACTTTCACAGTAAACCCGGAGTGACATATGCACAATTAGAAATATGATTATGATGTGCTCAGTTAATTTAGCTGATTCAATTATATTGAGTTAATATATTATTTATTCTTCAATTCAAAGAATGTTCAAACTAATTTAAACCAAAAAATCTTCCTCATTAATTAAGTTATAAATAAGAGTTGTTTTACCATTAAAACCCGTTGCCACATATGTCACATTTCAGATATTTGCCACTAGGGGGGGTTTCTTGTCAGAAATGTGTTCTAGGTGGTCTATTTAGTCTAAATTATGTTCCCCTTCATTTCCCCAAAAGTAGAAATGGGTCCGGGTTCTTATGGGTTAAGAGGTACAATATAAGACAAACAGAAGTTTATTATACTTAAGTCATTATACTTTTTTGATTTGCTAATTGAGGGCCAATTCAAAATGGCACCTGGGCCGTAGTTTGGGCCCCCCTGCTTTAGGGGGTAAAGCAGATTTTGGCCGACATGAATCTGACATGACCAGCTCTATCCTCTTTTTCACAAGTTTAAATTTAAGATCCAAGTCAAGGCTTCTTTCTCTCAAAATCTGTTTAAAACCTCGCCTAAACGTTGCCAAAAATAATGCGTCTGCTGCACAGGTGTGACAATGAAGACGCTGATTAAACAGCAGGATATTACTCACAGGCCGTGGGCTTTTCACAATAAAATCTTCATCTTAAAAGTGCAGTTTTATCGTGGAACATTTATCAGGCACATAACTGGGGATACAAATGTGCATTTTTGAGTCACAAATCATCAATGAAGTAACAGTTTTATAACGCCAGATGCTATCAAAAGTGAGCATTATTAAGTTGTTTTGAAAGATGCAGTGAGGTCGAGCCCCTCTGAGGATCACGAGACGGTTTCTCACAGTTTGTGCAGAAATCTTTTGGTTTGAGCAAATTACATTTTCATGAACTGTCCAGATGGCAAGTCTGAAACTATCTTGCAGATGAAGACGCTGGATGTGGCGGTCCTAGGTCAGTGGGGATACATGGGTTCAGTAGTTATNCTCACTGTTGTACGTAGGCCTACTGCCAAACACGTCAACGGCATTCAACACCTTCCTGTATGACAACGGCACGATTGTCAGCCAATTAAAGAGGCGTTATCAATCATAACCTGTGTTGAGGTCTCCATATTAGGTTGAATAATTAAAACGAAAGTTAATATAATCAAATATATTCTGTTATAACCCACAATGAAAATGCATTATATTTCATGTTGTTCTATAATCACAGTATACAAAACACATTTGGTTTGTTAAATTGAGTTTAGAAGTCTATTATAGTTTCACTATAGGGTGTCACTGTTTAAAGAGGGGAGACAGTTGTCTTCACTCACAGCTGGCTGTTCACAGGGGGGGGGGCGTTTTCACACCAAGTACTTTTCCCAGGAATAGTACTTTTATTTCCTGGAACTATCTAGTAAATCGCGTTCACACCGGAATAAGTCCCTGAAGGAGCTTCTTCTTCTTCTTCTTCTTCTTCTTCTTCTTCGGGTTTACTGGCAGGCCACAAACAACTTCAGGGCGTATACTGCCAACCGAAGTTCCCGGAGTTGGGGACTGGCTTCAGTAGAAGCTGCTGGGATGTTAGTCTCTCTCCGTTGGTGCGCGGGGCTAATGCTAATGTTAATAATGCTAATGCGAGGATAATAAAATGGCGGCTTCACAAACGTTTTGGGAGTTTTACGGGGCGTGGTTTGCAATCCGCCCAGCCAATCAGACATAGGAACCTTTTTCTCCCACGAAAGTCCCTGCTCTCTAGCACGGACGGAGAAGGGGGGGAAAAAGGTTCTCATGAACTAATTTTAGTTCTGGATTTTTTTGGTGTGAACGCAACACTTCCGAACTATATCGGAACTAAAGTGGGAAAAGTAGGCCTACTGCGGTGTGAACGCGCCTAATGGTGCTCTAGGAGGAGATTCAGGTGATAAGGGAGTTACCTTGGATGCTGATTGGCTAATGGTTACACAAGCCAAAACATCGTTATGACATCATAAAGTGGCCAAAATCTGATCAGCTCATTTTCAGACAGGTTTTTATAGAAATGGATCAGGACAAAAAGTGAGAGAATCTTTGTTCCTGAAACTTTCAGAGTCTCTTTCCACAGAGGGGACACATGTTGATGTAGAAGAGACATGAAGAAGAGGGGACACATGTTGATGAAGAAGAGACATGAAGAAGAGGGGACACATGTTGATGTAGAAGAGACATGAAGTGGATTTTGCATAATAGGTGACCTTTAAGTATAGAATGAGAGGTATATTGCCTGGGATCACACTACCCTGCTTCCTCCTCCTCACTCAGGCTGTCTGTTATTTTCAGAACTGTTCTCACATTTCAGCCCTGAAACCCCTTCATGGCTCCTTGCTCTGTTATAGAGGATCTCAGGCCGATTGAGGCCTCACACAGCTTGAGATTACCTGCAGGGGCCCTCAGGCATCTCACAGACAGCCCCTCATCTGTCAGGACCCCAGGCTCAGAGCAACCTGCCTGAGGAGCACGGCTACCATCATCCGTCATTTTGAGAATCACCTTTTGAAATGTACCCGATTTATTTTCTTCCTTGTTCCGTTTTTGTCAGAGAGCTATATGACATACCTTGTTATAAAGTACACTCCAATATTGTTGAGGGTATAGCTTGTGTTGGTGGAACTTTATATATTTTTTAGGTTTGGCAATTCATTATTTTCGTATTTTTTTAAATTGTAATTAGTTTATGCAGGGCACAAAAAGGCTAATTGTTGTAAATGCCCCAGAGTTAGCCAAAAGGATATTTTTCATAATTTTGTTTCTATCTATCATATCCAGTCCCTATAGGCAGATGATTCAATGTCACTTTAAAAACCAATTATAATATACAGTATATTAAAAAACTAAATACCGGATACCGGATGAAATCTGAATGTAGCATAATAAGGTCCCTTTAAACATTCATCATCCTTAGAGGACAACACATAGTGAATTTTGTAACCCTCCAACTTTCGTTCACACTAACACATGCTTGACTTGAATGGTTTTGAGTCAAATGTCTCAAAAACAATTGGATTGATCGCTGTGAAATTCATATTCCACTCAGGATGAATCGCAATCACTTCTCTGATCCTTCATCTTTCTAAAGCATCATCATCATCATCATCATCATCATCATCATCATCACAGGCCTTTTTTCACAAAAATAGACCTTGACTGTTTTCCAAATCTTTCTCTGGGAGCTGCAGACCTGAGTCCTTTTTAAATAATGCTCAAAATCACGTTTTCTCTGGTGCCATTGGTCCCTGAAGCCTCATGCTGTTCTGTGAAGAGTTGACAGACTGCTGTAAACGCCAGCGGCTCTAAGAGAAATCGCTGCGAAATTAATTTAAGAATATCAGCAGTCTCCTTCTTTATGTCCTTGTGCAGCGTTCTTTCACATTCACAGGGGAACAGTCCTGCTCAGAGACCAGAAAATTAACTGGAGGCTGAATAGTGAAATGGGGCATTGGGGAAAGGAAATACATGAACAGCGGGGAATGAAAAATAATTCAATTATCGGAGGCTTTCTTTAATACGAGTCATGTTGCATAAAGCTTGACAGGGATATTGATCCATAATGGTAACTGCGCTCCAACGAGCTGTGTTAGGGCGTGTTTGGATTGGATTATTATCTTTGTTTGGCACCCAGCTAATGAGATTTAAGAAAGCGAGAATGAAGGCTTTTGTTAAAAAATGATTTGTTTCTATGTTGGGTATTGCACTTAATAATCAGACAGTGAAACGTCTTGGGCGACAGTCATAGAAAAACAAAGAGTATTTCTGGATAAATGGAGGTTTCTGGGGGATTGTTAACGTTCAAGGTGTTACAATCACTCTTGGACGCAGGTGTAATTGTTTTTAAATGATAAATATCCAGAGCTAATCCTCCCGGCAGCTCGTCTTCACTTTCTGCAGCTGCTTGTGTAACAAACTGCCAGCATGCATTAAGCGAGAGCCGCTTTCTGTACGAGAAACAAGATATCAGTTCTGCTCTCACACTACAGCTATAATGAGCCGAGGAGGAATCAACAACACTTTTTAAAAAAATCTGCAAACAGTGAAAAGGCTCCAGTACAAACGTAGGATGTCTCCTACACAGTAATCCAAAAAGCAGAGACTGCACATTTCTCCTATGTGGGATCAGCTCGCATTTAATATTCTGATCCGCTTCAGCTCCCCGGCCCTCCCTAAAAAGAAATACAAATAAAAAGTGTGGATGTGTGATATCAGCAGAATTGTTAAGTAACACAGAACAGATGCACTTGCAAACACATTTCATAACTTTATCCATGCACGCTTCAATGTGAGGAAAGGAGGCAGGGTTTTCTCAGGGAGGTGTGCAGAGGATGATTGCAAATAGCAACGTATTCAGCGTTTGGTGTCAGAGAGAAGATTGTTATTCTGCATGCTGTCTGGGGGTCTCGGCTCAAAGAGCAGCCTGGGCCCGGAGCCCGGAGACTTGTGTGTGTGTGTGTGTGTGTGTGCGTGCGTGTGTGTGTGCGTGCGTGCGTGTGTGTGTGTGTGAAGCGAGACAGAGTGTCTGGGTTCACAGAAAACCCATCCAGACACCTGCCGGCTACCGCTGCCAGTCGCTGATAAAATGGTGAAAGAATGTGAGGAGCCTCAGGCGTCCACGTCCGCCTTCCAAAGGGCCGGGTGGGCTTTGGAAGAACCATTTTTTCTTTGTCTTGAACACCTGCCACTTTTAACGCCTTGTGAATGAAGCTCAGGAAATAAAACACATTAAAAAGGCAGTTGTGAACTCTGATCATTTTTATTAGAAAAAAGGAAACGGTGGCTCCGGGCGAAAAAACCAGATCGAAAGAAAAAGGCTGCAGTATACAGACGAGAAGAAATAGCTGCTTGAGCAAACTGACCCACAGCTACAACATCAGGATTAAAGCACTTCACCATTTATCATGCACGGAGAGAGCGAGAAACACATGCAGGGGAGGGGGCACATCACCTCAGCACAATATCCCATCACATCTGCGACAGGTAGGAAAAGGCCACAGCAGATCACAAGAACATCAAAGGGTCAGAATTCACTTCCTGTCCCGACTGGAGCGACAGAGCAGGGCTGGTTTATTTTTTCTTATTTTTGAGCGGGTTGTATGACATCTCCGTGAAGTGCAAAGACACAGTCGCATCAGTGATTGGCTGACTCCAGCATCTCCGCCACCTACGATACTGTAAACAATCTACACTATAAGGCGCACAGTTGAAAAATTGCCCAACGAAAGAGCCTCAGCGTCACTTCTTAAAGGGTTTGACGTGAAAATGCATCGTCATCTTCACCATCAAATCTCGGCAGATCTGGCATACCAACTGTCAATATACCTCAGGCAGTGAAATGCTCTTTAGGTTTCGTGAAATGGGCACTAAACCAAAGAAAAGACATTAAAAGGACAATAACCCATTTTCATTCTCTTTCCTAAAACATCCATGTTGTTTCAAATTAGGCACACGGTACGGCACAGTAAACGTTGTTTTCCTCAATACCTCTTTTGGTTGTTGACATATAAAAGACGGGGACACCGAAGAGTCCCGCACGATTTTAAAGGACAATTTGTTTGTTTTATCGCACACACTGAACAAGTATCTGTCCAAACCTTTGACATTAAAGGGAGAACTTTTCCACACAGTTTCCTTCTTTGTGATTATTTAACCTGCTTTAAGACGTTGATACCAACCTGTCCTCCTCGCTGTCTAGAAGGTAACAACCAGCACAGAATATCTTACTAAGACACAAGGCAATAAATTCCTCTTCGCTTGAATAATATCAGTCGTACAAAGTCTTTCGGACCGCCCGTGTCCGTCCACGAAATAAAATACTCTAAAACTAACAGACCTCAGCGATTAGCTTGTTTTTCTCACCAACTATTTGAAACACTGATTGTCTACATTATCAAATCTAAAGGACGTAAACATGATAAGATGTAAACACTCTTCAACTGGCTTGGACCTCAAAAGATATTTGACCCTGTGTGAGATGTGCGGAAAGCCTTCCAAGCGCCAAGATGGAGGAGGAAGAGGTAGTCCACAGGAGAGCTGATGCCAGGGGAAGGAAGTGACCGCTACTTGCTCCGGTGCATCGCCTGGACTGAAGGTTTGATCGATAATTCGTAGCATAATCCTTGGTTGTCTTCTTGTGGTGGAGAATTTTCTGATTTGGCAGGGAGAAGCTGTTTGTTAGCGCTCAACGTCAATCCACCATCTTTTCAGCCAAAGTCTCCGGTGATGGGTGTCGTTTATCCTGGTGAATTAGCAGTCATTTGTTCAGTCTTTTATTTTATTTGTTTCTAATATATATATACTGCGCACTTGTTAGACGATGCGGTAATCGAACGTGTCCTTCTCGGTGTGGTCAGTCCAGTTGGACGAGGGCATGCTGCGGTACGGGTCCAGCAGGATGCGGAAGCAGCGCACGATGAGCAGAGCCAGGAAGATGAAGAGCAGCAGCACGAAGATGAAGGCCGCCTTCTGCTCCAGCGTCAGGTAGGAGGACACGTGATGTCCGCCGCCTGACGAGGACAGCGTGCTGCTGAAGAGGCCTTCAGCCATCCGCGGCACATCCATGCTTGATCGTCTCGGCTCCAGCTCTTTTTCCGGTTGTGTAAAGATTTAGGAATTGAAGATGGGGTTCAGAGGATCAGACCTGCAAGGCAAGGTGAGGCAGGTTTATTCATATAGCACTTTTCAACACAAGGCAATTCAAAGAGCATAAAACACATTAGAAACATTAAAAAGCAACATAATAAACATGAGTAACACTGTGACATGAATAGAAGTTACAGTGCAGAGTAAGATGTGAATAGTTCAATTGAAAGTAGCGGCAAAAAGAAAGTCTTCAGCCTGGATTTAAAAGTAGTCAGAGTTGCAGCGGACCTGCAGGTTTCTGGGAGTTTGATCCAGATATCTGACAACACCCCTAACCAGATTCTCACATTCCTCTACCCCTAGTCTTCCCGTGAAATGACAGTTCCTTTGACAGTTTTCTAACCTTTTTATATTCCTTTCATCCTTTTCTTTCAGCCATTTGCTTCCCCAGACAACACATTTAGCTATTTCACTGTTATCCATCTTTGACCTTTAAACCACTTTTCTTTTCAATTCCCAGAATAAGAATATTTAAACCTGTTTTAAGACTTCCCTGGTGAATCTTTGGCCTTTAGACCACTTTTTTCTGCCAGACAATCCAAACACACACAGGTTATTCTGGTGTCCTCTGACAGCAAACAGATATATCAACATAATGTGATTGTTAAAAACTGTCTTGAAATCTTAAAAAAGATGAGGGGGGACAAAACAAACTCAGGCCAGAAGAAAGTGGCTGTCAGATGAGTTTATCTTTGAACCTCCAGGCAAAAAGCCCGCTCGGTAATAAAATAGGAATCCCAGGGGACTCTTTTGGCCTCGTATTCCTGCAGCTCAGGGGCTTTGAATTGGCTCTGGGAGGTTTAGTTATACAACATTCATTGGAAGCAACACTGGAAGTAGATGTGTAGCTGGCTTCATTAAACCACAGCATGCAGGTCTTACATTTACAATTGGGACTCCAATTAATTATATTGCTGTGAAACTCATTTCCAGTGGCACCATTCAGCTTTAAACAGTCCCATGTATGTGCTTTCAGACAAGGATACAGGAATGAGGCATGCATACAAACAAAGGCTGGATAACTGAATGCTGCAGGGCTGCAATATTGAAGGTGAGAATCTGAGTGCTAATAGAAGTAAATGTTTAGAAATACATGTCATTTAAGTTAAGTATCAATGAATCAAGGATGCTTCGCAGGACATTCTGTAAACAACACCATCTCTTATTTTAAAGTATATGAAATATTTATTGTCAACACTACTGATCATGATCTGATATTGTTATGGACTACATGCCAGTGGAAACACAATCCGCTATGCACTTGTATAATGAATGCCACTTAGTCACTTTAAGAGGCGTGATTGTCCTGTATATGTGTGTGTTGTGCTGCGTATGGTACATGCATATTGGTGTGGTCTCATATGCAGATGACAAAGAGACATTTCCATTTCATGCAAATTTAACAGACAGTGAAGTAGTCTGAATATAAACGTATGTATTGCTGGTATATGTGTGTGTGTGTGTGTGTGTGTGTGTGTGTGTGTGTGTGTGTGTGTGTGTGTGTGTGTGTGTGTGTGTGTGTGTGTGTGTTTGGCCTAGCATTAATATACTTGTGGGGACCTAAATCTGTTTACACAGCCATGTGTGGGGACTCGCCTCCCTTATGGGAACAAAATGGAGGTACCCATGAGGGGAATCATTAATTTTAGGGTGAAGACTTGGTTAGGGTTAGGATAAGTCTCCAGGAAATGCAAGTAAGTCAATATAATGTCCCCTGAAGTGATGTATACATGGTGTGTGTGTGTGTGTGTGTGTGTGTGTGTGTGTGTGTGTGTGTGTGTGTGTGTGTGTGTGTGTGTGTGTGTGTGTGTGTGTGTCCGTGTGTGTCCGTGGACAGGTGGTGTCGGGGGTCCCTCAGGAGAACGGGGTGCAGCACGCAGCAGAGATCAGCAGCCTGGCTCTGGACCTGGTGGGGGTCTGCAGCTGCTTCAGGATCCCACACACACACACACTGCTGCAGATACGAGCTGGGATACACTCAGGTACACACACGCACAACTACATACTGATAACACAACTACACACTGATAACACACAACTACACACTGATAACACACAACTACACACTG